TTGACTGGTTTTCCGTGGGGGTGTACGGTGACAGTCGGACAGCACTGTGCCCCCGTTCACATTGACTGGTGCTTGGGAAAGTTGATGTTAAGCTGATGATGACGATGATCGGTCACAGACTGTTGGCCCAGTACAGTGTGAATGGTCCGGGAAGTACAGTATGACAAACACTGTTCTGATGTCTAGCCATAACTCAACATCAAACATCAGTGAGATGGCAGTGAGAGATCCCAGCCCTGTTTGTGTCATGGCTCTCTCCCTATTACCACCTATACACTTTAAGACGCGCATGTTTGAACTCTGTGTATACTGGTAAAGCTTTGTTTTAGCATCATCCGAATGAAGCTCGTGATTTGTGTCCCAATGCCATGATTGTGGTGGCAGTCCTGCCACCTCCCACTCTCGGGCACAGTGCCAGTGTCTGTCCCATTGGCTCCTCTACTCATGTTTCGAGCCTCCAGACTCTCTCTTTGAAAAGTTAATGTTGGTGTCCATTACATTTAGCACACACCCCATTCCCTTTCCTCTTCTCCTTCTAAGACCCACACCATAGACCCTCCCCCACCTCCTCACTGTGGTTTATCATCATTCCTGGGACTGGGAAGTAGTCACAGTTCAGTATCAGGGTTAATGAGGCACTCGAAGGCTCTGCTTGAAAAGGGGTTGGGCTTGTTTTCAGCACACATCTCGTTGCTGTGTCTCTCTTGCTCGGACTTGGGGGAAGAAGTGTATAGCTCTTACCCTGCCATATGTTCGCTCTGCAGGTACTTCATTTCCCAAGGCTGGTGGTGGCCATCATGCACTACAGCTATCTCTCACTCTCTTTCCAATACGGCTGGTACCGTGGGGCCTGAGTCCTCAGCGCAATCCCCGGTTACAACAGGGATTACACTCTTCAGTGCCCTTCTGAGCAGGTGAAAAAATACACACATTTAAAAAAAAGTGCAACTCGTCTTTTTTTTTTAATCCCTTTTCTTCCCCCCATTCCATCAAATACGTATGTGGCACTACAGGGTGTATGAGACTACTGTGGGTCCCCTAATTCAGACATGACTAAGGTATGGCCAGGCAGGAATATTTCAAAGCAAGATAATGATCCCAACAAGATTGATCCTGAAGCTTTCCCTTGTATCAGAATCACTTCCATGCAGATGCATCAATCAGTGAGGAACGGAGTCTGCTGGTGCCCACATGGTCGAAGATCAAGTGTGCCAGGTCAGGAGTCACTTGGGTGAAGTGTAGCAATGATCAGCTTGATGCAGTGTGCTCCCCCGTATCTGCACTATTACCCCATCCCCGACCAGGGTGCAGAACACGCTACAGTAAATACGCTCGCCTTCCTCCCAGGGAGGGGCTGGAATGGGGGGCCCCTCGATCTCTCACATCCACCGGCGGGCTCCTGTTGTCGTGTTGAAGAGATAAGGCCTTCCTGTAGCTGAGAGAGAAAGTAGTTACATTCAAGGATCTGTTGGACCAACGTTTGTTTCTACACTTGGACAGTAAACCAATTCCCCTCAGCTTGGGGACCGCTTTGTGGAACACCTACGCTCGGTTCGTGACAAACGACTGCACCTCCCAGTCGCGAACCATTTCAATTGCCCCTCCCACTCCTTGGATGACATGTCCATCCTGGGCCTCCTCCAGTGCCACAACGATACCACCCGAAGGTTGCAGGAACAGCACCTCCTATTCCACTTGGGAACCCTGCAGCCCAATGGTATCAATGTGGACTTCACAAGCTTCAAAATCTCCCCTCCCCCTACCGCATCCCAAAACCAGCTCGTCTCCGCCTCCCTAACCTGTCCTTCCTCCAATCTATCCCCTCCTCCCACCTCAAGCCCCACCCCCATCTCCTACCGACTAACCTCATCCCGCCCCCTTGACCTGTCCGTCCTCCCTAGACTGACCTATCCCCTCCCTAACTCCCCACCTACACTCACTGGCTCCATCCCCGCCTCTTTGACCTGTCTGTCTCCTCTCCACCTATTTTCTCCTCTATCCATCTTCTATCCGCCTCCCCCTCTCTCCCTTTTTATTTCAGAACCCCCTTCCCCTCCCCATTTCTGAAGAAGGGTCTAGGCCTGAAACGTCAGTCTTCCTGCTCCTCTGATCCTGCTTGGCCTGCTGTGTTCATCCAGCTCTACACCTTGTTACATCAGATTCTCCAGCATCGGCAGTTCCTACTATCTCTCCCCTCAGTGAAAAACTGCCTGAAGACATATCCACTCCGACATCTTTTTGTCATTTCACGGCAACCCACCCTGCACCCCATCGCACACCTTCCCTTCGGTTCGATCCCTGCATCTTTCCCTGCCTCTGTCCTCACAAGCAACCATCTCAACGCTCCAGGGAAAGAAGCAGCTTTCACCCTCTCCTCCAAATCTCGTCACAAGGAGAGATGGTCCAACTGCAGTGTTCCTCTTCCCCAAAATGCACAGCACCATGGAGCGAATTGCTCAGTTCAGTTCTGCGAGGTACAGCATGCCACTCCTGACAGCACCCTCCTGAAGTGAGGAGGCTGGAGACTGCAGCAGCTTGTGGAGACACTTCAGGGACCTTCTAAAGCATCCCTGATGAGATCACACATCCCTCTGGAACTCTCTGGCTTGTGAATGACCAAACTGGATGGTGTTCACTCTGAAAGGTGCCCAACACTCTGCGAGAGTCAATACACAACATTAAGAGGCAAAATTCAAGACATTGCAGACAGCAGGGAAAATTCCCAGAAACTTAGACCCCATTGACTTGCAAGAGGAGCAAGCTATCCTCAAGTGGACATCATTGCATGAGAAGAAGCTGGTGCATTCTTCAACCCCTACAGTTTGTGATGGAATCAACCAATCAAAAACATTACCTCGGTTTCTCTATCTCCATAAATACTGCCTGACCTGCTGTGTCCCTCCAGATACAACCAGCTTTATTTTACATTTCCAGAAACTACTAGAATTGGGAGTTTTCTCTTCTTCTTAATAACACAGGATGACAAAAAACACAGGTCATGAACCTGCTTTAGTTCCCTTTTGGCAATTTTTCCCACTTTATCCACAAGGGTCCACAGTCTAACCCTTTCTACAGGGAGATTGATTTCCAGGGACGGTGTGATCCAGCCTGCTACCTCCAAAATGCAACACTGCACACTGAGAGAAGCTGTTTGATATTCGTCCATGCTGACAGTGTACCGAAAGACCTGCTGTTTCAAAAACACACACTCACACACACACTGTACTCCATCTAATTCCCCACCCTCTCACACACTGCAACCCATCCAACTCCCCACCCTCAC